AAGTTATTGTGACATGAAATTTCATAAAAGAAGCAAACTTCTAATGTTTTTGGCGCATTTCATCAAAATAAAGCCAATTCGAGCCGAAATGGCTACTTACTTGCCTATTTTCTTCATTTCTCAACTTATAAACTCCTTGCATCTCAAAACAACTCATAATCACATATTTATAAGTATTTGTCATTTGAAATTACATAAAAATCGCCAAGTTCTAAGTTTTTGGGTCCAATTTATCAAAATAAAGCCATTTTGAGCCGAAATGGCTACTCACTTGACTATTTTCTTTATTTCTCAACTTATAAACTCCTTGCATCTCAAAACAACTCATAATCACATATTTATAAGTGTTTTTCATTTGAAATTACATAAAAATCTCCAAGTTCTAAGTTTTTGGGTCCAATTCATCAAAATAAAGCCATTTTGAGCCGAAATGGCTACTCACTTGACTACTTTCTTTATTTCTCAACTTATAAACTCCTTTCATCTCAAAAAAACTCATAATCACATATTTATAAGTGTCTGTCATTTGAAATTACATAAAAATCGCCAAGTTCTAAGTTTTTGGGTCCAATTCATCAAAATAAAGCCATTTTGAGCCGAAATGGCTACTCACTTGACTATTTTCTTTATTTCTCAACTTATAAACTCCTTGCATCTCAAAACAACTCATAATCACATATTTATAAGTGTTTGTCATTTGAAATTACATAAAAATCGCCAAGTTCTAAGTTTTTGGGTCCAATTCATCAAAATAAAGCCATTTTGAGCCGAAATGGCTACTCACTTGACTATTTTCTTTATTTCTCAACTTATAAACTCCGTGCATCTCAAAACAACTCATAATCACATATTTATAAGTGTTTGTCATTGAAATTACATAAAAATCGCCAAGTTCTAAGTTTTTGGGTCCAATTCATCAAAATAAAGTCATTTTGAGCCGAAATGGCTATTCACTTGCCTATTTTATTCATTTCTCAACTACTAAACTTATACATTCTCAAACCATATCATAATTACATATGTATAAGTGATTGTGAGTTGAAACTTATTATTTCTCAAACTATTTCAGATTTCCAATGGAAGCAAAACTTCAAAGAGAAAGAGGGTGGAGAAGCCTAAAAGAATTGATCAACCTAAGAAGAAGCTAAGTGAACAACGGTCCAAGAGTGAACAAGCGTCGAAGTTGCACTCTTCGAAAGGTTCACCCATGCCACCTACTCCACTTGTTGAAGGCATTGTTCTTCAATCGCTCTCTACTGACATGACCTTTCTTCACAAACGTGCTTGTCATTTGGTCAATCCCATGGAAGTTGCACTTCCTAAGGCAATGTTCCACTATGATGAGGATGCAATTGCATGGATCAACGAAGAAGATGTGAAGGAATTTCTACGTGGTGAAAAGCTTAACATTTCCCTCATTCAAACATTCATGAGGTACTTCAATGCCCACATAATCTATACTTTTTTCAAGTTATTCAAATTGATGGTGATTATCATACATCTAATAAATTATTCAATGTTCATGCACGCAGAGCACTACAGGAGCTCTTAACTGACACTGATTCTCCTTGTAAAGTTGGGTGGTTATGCCCCGAGCAGTTATCCACTACTAAAATCATAGGCAACCCCCATGACGTGTTGTACTATGTTGAACAGAGTATAAGGGAATTAGCGCGGTCGGGAGACAAGTTCATATTCGCCCCATGTTATAGTGAGTAAGTCTAACCATGTCAAATTCAATCGATTTGGCCTCATTATATGTTGACTCCTAAATATTAATTACCTTGTCTATTGTGAACTTATGTAGGGAGCATTGGAGCCTCATGGTGATTTGTAATTCCACTAACACAATTTATCACCTTGATTCAGCTCGATCATCGGAGAAGTGGCTCGTGAAGTCTATATTGCAAAAGTAAATATATATAGCAACCTAGTGATGATTATTGCTAATAATAACTAATTTAGTAATCATACGACTAATCAAATTTGAATGTACTTTTTTATACTACGGTGTTATGAAGAAGCTACATTGTCGTGCTCCAAAGGGTCCAACATGGAAGACACCATTGGTAATTTACATGATATTGTGATTATCTTGAAAATCTATGGTAGTAAATATTTTCTCATTTCCTTTGCATGTTTAACTGATGTGATTTGTTTGTCATATGCTAGTGCGCACAACAAGAGAATGGACTTGATTGTGCTTTGTATATGATGAGATTCATGCTTGACATTGTGACTCATTGTACGGACACTCAACAGCTTGATGAAGTAAGTCCTAAAACTTATTGAAATGCTATATTGATGTGATTTCACGCCTTAGACACCTAATATTACCAAACAATGGCATGTTATGAGATACAAAAAAGCTATTTCACAAGAAAGGTAGAAAATGGGCTGAATAGAAGTCATATGGGCCATGTTAGGGCCATTTTGTGTTAATATGCTCTTTTGATGTGATTTCTTTCTTTATACACATATAAATAGATAATATTGACATGTTATGAGATAAATAAAGTTCATTTAATAAGAAATGTAGGAAATGGGCAAAGTAAGGTCATATAGGCCATATTCGGGCCATTTTGAGTAAAAAGCGTCATAAACCTTAATAAAATGCTCTCCTATACAATTTTAGGGCTTACACACATACAACTACTCAACATTGACATGTTATGAGAAAGAAATAGTTCATTTGATAAGTAATGTAGAAAATGGGCTACATAGAAGTCATATAAGCCCTATTTGGGCCATTTTGAGTAAAATGCATTGTTAAACTTCTTGAAATGCTTTATTGATGTGATTTCTAGCCTTAGACACCTAATATTATCCAACAATGACATGTTATGAGAAACAAAAAGGGTATTTCACAAGAAATGTAGAAAATGGGCTGAATAGAAGTCATATGGGCCATATTAGGGCCATTTTGTGTTAATATGCTCTTTTGATGTGATTTCTTTCCTTATACACCTATAACTAGATAATATTGACATGTTATGAGATAAATAAAGTTCATTTAATAAGAAATGTAGGAAATGGGCAAAGTAAGGTCATATAGGCCATATTCGGGCCATTTTGAGTAAAAAGCGTCATAAACCTTAATAAAATGCTCTCCTATACAATTTTAGGGCTTACACACATACAACTATCCAATATTGACATGTTATGAGAAAAAAATAGTTCATTTGATAAGTAATGTAGTAAATGGGCTATATAGAAGTCATATAGGTAATATTTGATAAAATACATATTGTTTGCCTAATTAATTATTTTTAAAATAATGTTTTTGTATTTCAAGTTTTGCAAGGTCCAAAAGGATGGTCCGTTGACAATCAAGGAGCTTAATGAAGTTCGTGACATGTTGGCGTCTTTTATCACATTCAACATGTAAATGGCATTGTAATTGTAAATTATTTATGTTAACTTTTGAACTATATAACTTATTATTCATTATATATGTACTTACTATTATTTGTATATGTAAGCAACTTTTTTTTTTTGTATTGCGTTTGGGAATATTTATATCTATATATATAATTGAATTTTTGTTTTTAATATTATTTTTGTATCTTATTGTAATAATTAATAATATTATTATTATTAGTTATTATAATAATAAAATTATTTATTATTATATTTAATATAATTGCTGGAATTACAGGTTATTATTATTGCATTTTTTTTAAAAATATTATTGCACGATGGAAAAAAAACGAAAAAAAAAAAAATTGGTTAATAGGCACCGGTTAGGCAGCAACCGGTGCCTAAACTATCTACCACAAAAAAAAATGGCAGGAGAGCAGTTTTAGGCACCGGTTAACCGGTGCCTATTTCACCCTATGGCACCGGTTAACCGGTGCCTATTACACCCTATGGCACCGGTTTTGAACCGGTGCCAAAAACCAAGTTTTTGGCACCCCTCACATAGGCAGCGGTTCAAACCGGTGCCTTAGACCGGGTTTGAACCGTTGCCAGTTGCCTTTTTTCACCTAGTGATGTGAACAAGCCCTTAGTATTAATTAATATTTTGAAAAAAATAAGGTAGGTGTGTTCTACAAGATCATGCTTGACTATTTCCTTTGTTCTTTTTGTAGTTGTAACACTTCTCTTTTCAGGCTTGCCGATGTAAGATTTCAATCGTTATATATCTTTAATTACCAATATGTAAAAATTATAAATATTTGATATTAAAAAATTGTAAATCGAGATGAATCTAACAAAATTTCATACAACTATTTTTTTTATTAGGTATAAATCATCAAAGTTAGTTAAAATGAAACACATAAATAGTGTATAAGAAAATACGACAAACAATTGTAATAATAATAATAAAAAAAAAGTACTCCGTGTTTAAATAAATGAAACTTTTTTTTTTGTGAACGTATGCAAATGCAATATTTTGACTAAAAATACCTTTAATTAACAAGAAATTAAAATGGAGTATTCATTAGGACGTTCCAACAAATATCCACAAGACTATATTTGTTTTTATTTATAAATCACAAACATTAGTCAAAGTAAATTAAATGAATAATTTGAAAAAATTAAAATACTTCATTTAGTCAACACGTACTACTAAAATATTAAAATCCTGTTTATCAAAAAAAATTAAAATTTTGACTTTTTTTTTGCCAGAAAATTTGACTTTCAAAAAGAAAATACAGCATTTTTTTTTTTTAGGAAAAAATACAGAAATATTTTTTTTAAAGAAATATACGGAAATTATTTAAAAAGATGGTCTTATTTAAAAATTGGAATTAATAAAATCCCATTTAAAAAAAAAAAAAAAAAAAAAAAAAAAAAAAAAAAAAAAGCTGGAGCCACGCAAACTAAATTTCAACCGTTTCCAACTTCCCGTTTTCCCAAGGTCGCATCCAAAAAGTACCCACGTGTCACAATGACTGGTTGAATATTTGACTCGGCGGAGCCACCGTACTTTAAATTCCCAAAATACCCCCGCCTTTTTCTCTTCCCTCTCTTTCAATTTCATTTGCATTTGCATTTCATTTCAACCCCCTCTTTCTTCCGTATAAATTCATTTTCCCTTATCTTTTCCCAAATTTTGCTCTTTTAGAGAGAGAAAGTAGAGAGAGAAACTGAGATTCATACGAGAGGTTAGAAATTATTCAAAATTAATTTCCAGAATTTTTTAATTTTTTCTTTCTTCTTCAATGGAGTTCAATCAATGGCGTGATTCCTTTCTCTTTGTCTTATGATCTCCATAGTTTTCGATCTATTTCCCAATTTTTGCTTTGGAATTTGAAACCCTAACCCTAATTTTTCACCGAATTCGATGCAAATGTTGATTTGAATTCTTCAAAAAGGGGAGAAAACTACAGATTTGATCGGATTATTGAATCTGTCGAAATTTTTGAATCGGAAAAATGCCGTCGCACGCGGATCTAGATCGGCAGATCGAGCAGCTGATGGAATGTAAGCCTTTGTCGGAAGGAGAAGTGAAGACGCTTTGCGATCAAGCGAGGGCGATTTTGGTGGAGGAATGGAATGTTCAACCGGTCAAGTGCCCGGTCACCGTTTGCGGTGACATCCATGGCCAGTTTTACGATCTTATCGAGCTCTTTCGTATCGGCGGAAACGCTCCTGATACTAATTATCTCTTCATGGGAGATTATGTAGGTCAGTTTTCAAACTATTTAATCAAACTAAAAATATACTAGTAGTTACTTATAATAGGATTATTATTCATTTTAGTTTGATTAGTTTTTTGGCTGGTTTTTATGATAATAATTATTGATTAGGTAGCTTGTGGATTTGTTAGAGAGAAATATACTAGTCAAATGTTTTGGAATGATTCATTTATGTTTTTGATTGATTGAATATATTTATTAATTTATGGTTAATTGAATATTGTAATGAAATTGTTTTGTTGCATAAGCTGGAGGTTGAAGTGGAAATTCAGTTGGGGATTGGGAGGGGCAACTAAATGAAGAATATGGCAGTTTGTAGTTGTAAGATTTTTGGGTCGAAAATGAAATGGTGAAGATAGCTAATGTCTTTGTTTTGTTTTTGGGAGAGGTGATAGTGGTGAGAGGAAATTCGTATATGTGGCCATGTGGATGGATAATTGATGTAAATCATGTAACTGTTTCTTGATTGCGATAGAGGGAAATTAGAGGAATCCTTATTTGGCAGCTTGGGCGTCGTGTTTCAAATCCTTATGCTGCACCTTTAACTCAAACTACTCAATCTTGTTTGTTTTTAGAGGTGCATAATTACGTGTTATACTTTGGTATTCGGCTAGTAGAGGTTAATTGCAACTTGTGATGTGGTATTCTTTTCTTGAAGATTTATATCGGACTTTCAGCCTCCAAGCTTGTATATAACTACATAAATTGTTGGTATCCTGGGGATTAAAGTTCATATGTTAGTTGCGTAAAGTTCAGAGTCTTCAGACCAATGGTTTCAGTTCAAGACTCTTGGAATTTAAGTTTTGAAACTGGATAATGATAGATAGATAAATATATAATGATGACTGGGGCTGCAAACGTGCAGCCTTTTCCTCTTCACCTTTGTAGAGTTTACAGTTCTTTCATGAAAGTAATTCCTTAGGATAAAGGATGCCTCAATCTAAAGCATTTGCAGTCTTTAGCTCTGGTTTAAGCCAGGATTATTTGTTGTTTGGCCATGATGGATTTAACTTAACTGTTTTTTTTTTTCATTCAAGTATCTTTTGCGCTCCAATTTAGTGTCTTTATCATACAGCTGTAGCTTCTCCTTATGACTTACGAGAATAATTGTGTTTGATTTTATGTTTTCACTCTGATTTCTACTGTTATTTGGATTGTTTAATTGTATTATTTTTAATTTAGCTTTGTTTTCAACTAATCCCATGATTTATGATAAGAGAATAATTGATGTATATCATAATTTCCAGTTTCCATTGAAATTTTTATGAACTATGTGGGTGGTAGTCCCATGATTTATGATAAGAGAATAATTGATGTATATCATAATTTCCAGTTTCCATTGAAATTTTTATGAACTATGGTGGTGGTAGTTGCTTGAATTTGTTACTTTTTATTGAACTTGTGGTTTTGTTCTTAGCAGAACTTATATCGCTGCTTTCTTTATCTGAAATATAGTGTCGTATAGTATGATTTCAAAAATTAGTTGATTGTCTGATTTAATATAGGAACTGGGTTAATGATTTTCTTCTGGCTTGTTTTTATATTTATAATGTGTTTAAGATCTCTCCGTGACATCTGTTATAAACCTTGACATCATTGCATCAGCTAGTAGGTATGCAGATTTTTGTTGCTGTCCGAAACTTCACTTGTGGACCTATGTATTGTAGTCCTTATAAATGTTGTAGCCCACTCATCTTTTCAATAAAGTAACAAGATTAACTGGTGGAAATTTTTTTCTTCAATACAAATTTTATAACACTTGAAATACTTTGGAGTAATGAATTGTTACTACTTGTTAATTTATGTTCTCATGGTTGTATTGTATATTGCGACCATTGTGACGGGCAACCACATTTTTCCTATCCTATCCTAGCATTGCTTATTGTTTTGATGTTCATGGAAAATTGTAATTTTCATCGTTCTTGAACTAAAATTGAAGGAATGGGAGGGGATGGGGAAAACATGTTCCTCTGTAAGGTTATAAATTTATTCATTTGCTTTCGTTTGTGCACTCAAGTGATTTTTGTTATCTTATTTCACAGATCGTGGATACTATTCAGTAGAGACTGTCACTCTCCTGGTGGCTCTGAAGGTTCGTTACAGAGACAGAATTACAATTCTTAGAGGAAATCATGAAAGTCGGCAAATAACTCAAGTGTAAGGCTCTGTTGCTTCTTGTTTACAGACGAGCATCAATCTTTACGCTTGACTCTGCCGAAATGTTCAAGTATTACGTCATTAGGAACTTTTTGTACCTGATTGTGATTAAGTAGCTGTTGTGCAGTTCAGAAAATGTTCTATTTTCCTACAGGCCACGCTTATTGAGTTGGATGTGGTGGTTTTCCTTGTTCAGGTGGATGTATAGTGTCTTCATTTTACCCACAAGGCTGTACTGTTTGAATTTGCAGAAGAGATGTGTGACATGTATGGAAGTATATGCTATACTTGCATGGAACAATAAGATTGGCTTTCACCTTCCAATTTTTTCCTTTGTTTTTTATTTTTTTTATTTTTTATTATTTTTTTTTCCCGTTTAATGCCATATCTATGTTTAAACGTTGAATAGTTCCTGTGTTGTTTTAGTTTTCCAGTTATTTTTATGGACCATGATTGGAGGGATAAGTATATGAAGTATTTTAAGTCTTAGCTTTGTTTCAAGGTTGATATCTTGTGATGTCCCCCCTTTAGCTTTTTTGGTTCCTTTCATTCTCAGTCTAGTAGTCCTCACTCCTCAGATGCTTGTCCTGAGTGACCCAGCAATTTTTTTTTTTTTTTTTTTTTTTTTTTTTTCAGATGGAATTGGTGGTGTTATGCTGTTTATATGCTATTTAGAATCTGATTCTTGTAATTGTTGAACAAAATCTACAAATACTCTTTCCCTTTGTCCATGAACAGACAGGTTCAGATTCTTTATCCATCTGTTTTGTTAGCTAAAACATGATACTTGATTTATGTAAAACATGAAATTTGATTTATTTAGACTGATAAATTGAGTTAATAATAAAATTTTCAAGTACATTCCGGCTTTATATTGTTCTATAGGAACATTTTATGGTACTGATGATTTTATTTTGGCTGTCAGTCATTTATCTTATTACTGTGATGATCTGATTCTTTTGTAATCGACCTTTCAGGTATGGTTTTTATGATGAATGTTTAAGGAAATATGGAAATGCAAATGTCTGGAAGCACTTCACTGATCTTTTTGATTATCTACCTCTGACAGCTCTTATTGAGAGTCAGGTTAGAGTTGATAATTTTTATTTTTTAGTGCTTTGGATTATTATTATTAATGAGTTTGTTAGGATTAATGTATTGTCTGCATTATAGGTTTTCTGTTTGCATGGAGGTCTTTCACCATCTTTGGACACATTGGACAACATCCGAGCCTTGGATCGTATACAAGAGGTATGGTGGTGATAGTTGTTTTAGTTATATGAGTTGGCCGGTTCTGACCTGGGTTTTTTTTGTCTTTTGGATTTCTTGCTGTGCCTGCATTTTTCTTCCAGTGAAAGTTCTTGAAAGGCTAAATATTGTTGCTTTCAGGTTAATAAAAGAAGCATGTGTATATAGATATTTGGATGCAATCATGCAATTATTGTATATTGATTTATTGGGCTGATTTGCAGACTTATTTTGCTTGTGTTGATATTGTTGCCTCTCTTGGTTGTGTAGGTCCCTCATGAAGGACCTATGTGTGATCTGTTGTGGTCTGACCCTGATGATCGGTGTGGTTGGGGGATATCTCCTCGTGGAGCTGGCTATACTTTCGGGCAGGATATTGCCGCTCATTTCAACCATACCAATGGACTTACTCTTATCTCCAGAGCCCATCAGCTTGTGATGGAAGGTTTTAATTGGTGCCAGGTCTGTCAAAACCCAAATCCTGAAACATAGATAATTTTTTTCCCTCACATAATTTCATTTATCTTGTGATTTTACTTGCTAAATGAGCTGGAATTTTACAGGATAAAAATGTAGTGACAGTTTTTAGTGCTCCAAATTACTGTTACCGATGTGGAAATATGGCAGCTATACTTGAGATTGGGGAGAATATGGAACAGAACTTCCTTCAATTTGACCCTGCACCTCGACAAATTGAGCCCGACACCACTCGCAAGACCCCTGACTATTTTTTGTGATTTCAATAGCTCAACTGGCTGTTTGTAAAACTCTTTATCCTCGTGTTGCTGTAGATTTATTTAAAAGAGGATTTTGGTTGTTTGAGGATCAGTGTCAGCATCATTCTTTGCTTTGGAGTGGTCTTTTGCTACTGCTGTCATTGCTCAAGATATCCACAGTATTGATGAAGATTCCAGTAGTTTATTTGTATATTTTTCAGCGGGGAAGCAAGTAGCAGCAGTGACGATGGCAATATATTATTGTAATTTTACAAATTCAAGTTAAAAGCAGGGTTTTGAATGTGGTCACTTGGTCCCATTTTTGCCAACTTCTCGAGGGCGGATGGAATGTGCGGTGGATGATAATAAGCAGTAGGGCTTGGGTCTCAGGTGGCGTAGCTATTCAAATCTCCCAGAATTTGAACTTGAAGATCGCGCTGCTCATGTTAGTCTGCAGCAGTTTTATTTTTGAATGTTTTGATTATTCAAGTATACCTCATAACTCGTTTCAATTTCATTATGAAGCATATTTTTAAGTATCTGCTGTTGTGAATTCATGTTCAATTTGTATTGGACTTCGTAAAGTTTAGTTTAGCTTGTTTAGGTTTGCATTTATGTAATTTTGTTGTTCAAACATGAGCATTCTAAGGATGATACGGGGATATTGCAGAAGCAAACAATATAGGAATCAGAATTTTTGAGTCACGGTTCAGCACTGTAATTCATTCTGTGTCCTGAACCTGCCTACACTGTACCATTGTACTGAATAGTTTAGGGCTCGATGATTTTACTAAAATACTCGTTTGTGGTTGAGTAATTGAGTTGCTGAATATGTTTATGCTTGTTTCCCTTCTACTTAAAATGTTTATTTAGTGTAATTTGGAAACTTTGTGCTCCGTCTTGATCGTTACATTAACCTTTGCACATACGTCTTGACAAGGTTACAAATCAGGAGTAGTTGGGTGGGTTTGGTTATGTCATCACATCCTGAGTGAATGAAACCCAAACAATGTTTAAAAGTTAAATTATGCATTAATTTAGGAGGTTTATCTAACGCTGACGTATCATATGTACATCAATAAATTTTTAAGATAGATTATCTTGAATGGATTGGTTATGACTTATATATAAGAGAGAAACTTTTATTTATTTTAATTAATTTGTCATTTATATTTTAATTTTTGTCATGCGCTTGCTTTCCCCTCTAAAAGTATCTCACCGGTCCTCCTTGACCTTAGATCAAGAAATCAAAATCTGAACACAGGATCAAGCTCTAAATAACTTATTCTTAATACTTTAAACATATCATGTCTACACTTGAAACAAATCATAACTACGTTATAATTCTGTGGCTTTCTACATGCAAAATGAATAGGTTTATTCGTTCATTCTACTATGTTGTCACATGGATGTGCGACAAATATGAAATGGATTCCTCCATTTTATTTGATTGACATATTCAATTTAGAGACACATATTAAAGAGAGGAGAGAGAATGATAAAGCAAGTGGGATAGCTATTAAATACAAGGCATAAAACTTACCTAAAAAGAAAACGCATCAACTAAAAAAAACTTTCTAAAAAGATATACGTGTCAACTTAAAAAAAAAAAAAAAATCAAAGTCAAGTATTTTTTTAGTACGGAAAAGTACACCAAGACAAGACAAAAATAAATACTACCTCCGTTAATTTTAATTGCAACTTTGAAATATTTAGCAGCCCAAAATTGCAACTAAAAGTTACAGGGTTGTACAATAAAAACGAAGTGGATTAATGGATCATCTAAGCCATACGGTTCGCATGATTCGCAACACAATTTGGTAATGGCTAGCTTAAAAAACCCCGGACTGGAAAGCAAGGTCAAGCCTACTTAAGTTTCAACAATGTCCATAATATAGAGGTACATCTTAGCACACTATTTATATAGATTGTGGCATAGGGCATAAAGTTTCGCAGCGTCGAGTGATTGACTACAACAGACCAATTCATTAGCTCATAGCACTATTTAGCACAATATATCTTGAGCAAAGATGTTATCGACTGCTTTTGCATCTCAACCTCCCTTCAATAAAACATATTGCTGGGAAATACACCCTCATCGTGTCCTACTTAATCATTGACTTCAACTTGGCTAGCAATCCCATATGATACTTACACAAAGTCAGACTAGAGTCAAGCTAATTATACATGCCACAGCAACAAAGAGAATAACAAAATCAGCCAAGAAAATATTACTACTTAAAACTTACAAGGAGCCTTATAATGAATTGATTAAGGTGAGGATTTGAGATTTTGTAGATTTGTGGGTCAAGACCTTTCATGACAGCCTATTACAACATTTACAAGAAAAGGTAAAAGTAAAAAAGCCTTCATTTCACTAACACAGCCATAGACCACGCCAAAAGAATTCGTTAAAACCTTGAGTTACTCTGAACCCTTGCATTTCCAACACCAGCCATTGCTACAGTTTTTTTCCGCCTGATGAATACAAATGATCCACTGACGAGCAAGAGACCCAATATAAGAACCTATAATTTAACAAAAAATATTAGGACATCAATGATTCAAAGTATACAGAAACAGAACAAAACCTGCACAAAAACCCTGCAGAACCATATGCACAGCTACAACAATAGAGAAAAAAGAATTTCATATGCACAGTTACTTCCAAATTTAGGATGCCAGCAAAATCTACACAAGATTGAGGGAGACAAATGGTTTAGAAACTCAAGCAGGCTCATCATTAAAGCAAATCAGAAAGCATTTCAAACACAAAACCAGATTTGTTCCATAAAGGATAATAAATACAAGGAGAATAATTATACAAACATCAATTACCACCCAAAAATGTAACCATTTTCGAACTAACCACCCGTTTAATTTTTTTTTTTTTTTAAATTACCACCCCTTAAATTAAATAAATGCTCAAATTACCACCTATTTAAAAAATCCGGTGGATTTTCCGTCTGTACCCTTTTGACTGATTTTTTTCCCCGATTTTTCTTTTTAAAAACACTCTCTATACTTTAATTCACATTTCCTTCACCAAATTCTATCAAATTTCAAAGAGAAAAATGTGAATTGAAGTTAGGAGAGCGCTTATAAAGAGAAAAATCGGGGGAAAAAATCAGTCAAAAGGGTCAAAATAACCATTAGGTGGGGCCACAGACAGAAAATCCACCGGATTTTTGAAATGAGTGGTAATCTGAACATTTATTTAATTCAAGGGTGGTAATATAAAATAAAAAAATTAACGGGTGGTTAGTTCGAAAATGGTTACATTTTTGGGTGGTAATTTAAAAATTTTCCTTATATTTATTCAACCTTCAAAATATTCTCCAATTGTCTTGCTTGGACAAACCAACATCACAAGTATCATGCATGACTCCTATTGCTTATGCAAGTAAAATCTAAGAGAAATAGCTTGAAATATACTAAGGGGTCCTTCTTGCATAACAAAGGTGCCAGGGATCTAGGAGAAAGCCACAAGATGTAGGTGCTGGTTTTATTTCTGTGGATACAAAGCACAAATGCGAGCACAAAGTGATTTAAGACTCGACTCAAGGGGGGTGGCAAAGGAAGCCTAAGGCATGCCCGGGCTAGTGTAACTGATATATAGAATGTTTAACCAATCCATTCCAGATGGACCAAGGGTTTGATGTTTTAGGTTCATCTCTGGCAACTGTTCTTGGACAATGGGCGAAAGCCCAATCCGGCAATATTGCGTGAGTGAAGAAGGGTAATGCCCACAACCCAACAAGTTGGCAAATTCAACACAACATTAGGGCCGTCCCCTTCATTCTATGCTGACCCCAACCAGGGCTGTAAAAGCAAAAACAAATAGCAGAGAAGAAAAGTAGAAAAAGGGAAAGAAGTTTAGTGCTAGTTCTTAAAACAGACTACATAAACCTGAACTAAGTCTGATCTCATCAGGTGGACTTGGTTCATGTATGCTGTTACTATATAGCTTTATCAAAGCCAAGACCTTCAGTAAATCAGAACAAAAAATCTGTGGCATGCTGCATGAATCAAATGGCATCCCTTCTGTTATTTTATCAAGTACAAGTGAAAAATATTGTTTCACATCTTCTCACTTGTGCACTAAGAGGTCTCCCAAACAGAGGGCACTGATTCCTCTCTCAAGCCCCAAATCACTTCATATTTCTGGAAGATCATTTAGAGGATCCAACACTATGGACATAAATGATTTGCAACAGCCAGCATTTTGTATCTTCCTCTTGAATTCAGAGGGGACACAATTCTTAATTGCACAATTTAGAGCCAGCATTTTGTCTTTGCAACACAACTAAGCATAATTCTCTCATAAAGGACACATAGATTGCAAATTTTTAACATCTTTCTGCAATAATTGAGCACACCTAGTTGCATGAGATCATTACTAGAGCTACTAGTTGACAAAGGTAATTTACCTAACTCAGCGACAAAATAAAAGTACCAATCTTGTAAAAGTTGATGGGATGGAAAAACATGCTCATGGATAATGGCTATTAATACAGTATCAGTCATACAACCAACAAATTATAGAGCTAAAGAACACACTGTCATCCAAGCAAAGCTTAAACCAAGTTATGAACCTTTGTCCATAAATATGTGAAAAGCAAAAACACTAATATAAGGAAAAAAAACAACGTTTTGGAAGACAAGAACTGAGAGCTTATCTTCATATTTGGATTTCTTTTTAAAAAAAAACATTGAAAAGCAGAATTACGCACCTCAAAACCAAGAACAGAGAGCTTCTCTTCATTTACACCCTGTATACAACTTCTGTAGGTCACATACTCAAGGGGTTCACCCTTCTGATTAGAAGATTTGTCTGTTGCTAATGTCCTGTGCTTAGTTGCAACATTGTCTGCATTAACAGATACTTCTTGAGTAGATTGGCCATTTTGAGGGACATTACCAATCGTTTCCTTTTTCACATCTCCAACTTTGATACACTTAAAAGGAATACGATATCCAGTTTCACTACAGCGATATTTGTCATCTTTCTGTGATAAATAACAGATATTAATTGATTAGCTGCTAGCCTGACAGCAAGCATGTTGACACCAGAAGAGCAAAGTCTAGCAAAGTAACTAAGATTATTGTATTTTATTTCACCTACTACTCTCTAATCACAAATCATCAACAATAGTAGAATCATACAGTATGAATGTATGATGCTTATACGGTTATACCAGCATCCATGATATTCAAATGCTCAAGTATTTGCCTCGGTCTAGTTCAAAAGCAGTTCATCATACTATATGCTACTACAATTCAATAGATAACCACAATCCAATATCTTTAATATACTACGGAAAAGTAATACACAAGGAGCCACAAAGAACTCTTCAAAAAATCAATCATCTCCGCGCTTAATGCATAGTGATAAAATTAACCTCCTAGACTCGGGTACATGTATAAGCATTTCAAACATCATTCATGACTTCTTACTACGCAGAAATATAGAACTGGTATTTGTACCATGAAAGGAAGCAATGCCATATCATTTTAATTCTCGAAATGTTCAGAGCTCAAGCTTCCCAATTAAGTACTTCGTAGCACTGAACTACTGAAGGAGCCAAAAACAACTCTAGCAGAGTACATTGATCAAAATTTACCTCTTTAATCACAAGTTTAAGAATTTCGGGTTTTCAACCAATGCACCCTTACTAATCAGGCGACACAGCAAGATAGATTCAAGCATTTCAATAATTTAAGGAAGCAATCTCATAACTTTTTAATTCCAAACAACACTCAAAGTTTTCAACAATATAGCATTAACTGTAATTTCAAACACAGAAGCCAATTGACATACCCAAATTCTGAATTAATTGAATATCCCATTTCCCATAAAAACTGATCCAAATCAAAAGGCAGTTCAGTTCAATTCAATTCAACCAAATTCAAGCAAATTACACAAAATTAATAGAAATACAAACAAGTTTTAAAAAAACCAACATGAAAATGATGAAATAATTCAGAGAAAGAACCTTCTCAGAATACTGACAGGAAACGCAAGGACCAGAAGGGGAGCATTCAAAAGTAGTATTCGAACCATCTGGTTTCTCTTTAAACCCTAAAAGTTTCCGACGCCCAAATCCTTCTTCTTCTTCGTTTGTTCCGCTTTATAAATCAAAATTGATAACAACCCATTAATCTACAGATAGAGAGAGAAAGAGAGAGTGAAGATGGTGGTTGATGATCGGAACTTACAGTTGGTGGGAGAGTGAGAGTTGCAAAAGCGACGAAAAGAGAATCAAAGCGACAAGAAAAGATCGAGGAAATTGAATGTGTATTGCAGATGAACAGTTTACCATGGAAGCCATGGCTCACGGCTCACGACTCACGTCGGTGATGATGGGTTTGTAGTTTTGTACAAATGTTTTCTGCGCTGCCATGGCAGATCATGACCAGATGTATTCTCTTTCAACTTGTTTATCAAAGGGCAAATACGTAACTTGACTGTTTTTTGGAGGATACTTATGTAAATTGTGGGATGCTTGAGTTAACTCTGTTTAACTCTAGTTACTAGAGTGTACCCGTGCAAAATACGCGGAATGTATTTTAAATTTGAATAAATTAATTAAATATGTAATATAAGAAGAAAAAAAATATTTCAAATAGGGAAGTTGATTTGATGTAGTAACTTAGGCCATGTCATTTTTAGAGCTGTTGTGGACTGATTTGCTTTACAATGCTCTGTTCAAATCTGCTCTATTAAGTATTTTAGTAATCTGTCGACACCTATTCTGCTCTGCTGAAATCAGATATTCACTGCTTATCTCAGAAACTCAAAAAAAAAGGGTCGACTCTTATGTGGATGGTCACACAATGTGACCAGCTATTATGGAGGCTACTTTATTAAATCTATAGAGGTTATTCGTTCTATGTTATAGGAGTTATTTTGTTAGTGTCATAGGTTTATTTTTGATCTTTTGCAAGTAGCTATCTGGTCAGGCCAGTCGCGCAAATAGCCAAAAAGTGTGCTGTACATTTTTATTTAATTTTTTTTTTTTTTTTATGATTAGAGAAGTGGAAATTGTTTGTAGGATAGTCCCCAAGAAAATATGCATATAAGTGAAGGGTTGGGGATTTAGAGTGCTATGGTGAATTGTTGATAAGGGAACTGTATATCCGTACTAATGCACAACATACATTATACGCTAAAGAAAATAGCACAAAGTGAAATGTTAGTAGTGTTTTTAAAAAAGTTAATTTTTACTTCCTCTGTTCTTTTTACTTGACCTGCTTCTTTTATCACGCTTGCCAATGCAAAACTTTAACGATCAATAACTTAAATTCTCCATAAGTAAAAATTATAAAAGTTATATATTATGATAGTACTTATTGAGAAGAATCCAAAAAGATCATACATAAATATATTTTTCCTTACATATTATTCACAAAAAACGGTCAATGGAGGGGTGGTGAATAGTGTAAAAGTCAAAGCGGGACAAGTAATAAAGAATGGACGAAGTATTAATTATTGCAGTCCCTTGAAAATACAAAAAAAAAAAGGGATAGGATAGATAGTTATTGTACTTATTGATTTTTTTAAAAAAAATTAAAAAAATAAATCAATAATATAGTGGGAATGTGGGATGGGTACTTGGGTAGTTTTTATTGGTTTGTAAATAAATAAATAAATAAATAATAAAAATTTTAAAAAACTCACACATTATTTTTTTTGGTGCTTAGAGAGCCACAAGGACGGGGGGTGAGAATCGATCCCATAATCTTCTGGAACCGAGAGGGAAGCTCTAACCACTTGAGCTATTCCTCACTCTCAAAAACTCACATACTTCCTCCGTTAATGGTTAATTGCAACAAAGGAATATCTTATATCTCACAAATAATACCCCTTTGTTGCAATTAACCATTAACGGAGGAAGTATTATAGATTTGGCGTTAGCTCAACAAGTAAACAGAAATTTCAACTCCGTTACTTTAGTACTTAACACCTGCAGCCATGTGTCCGGTTAGTTTTGACTGACGTGGTGGTATTAGAAGCTGGAAATTTAGGTAATTACTAGTACGCGCCCGTGCTAATGCACGGGTTATACCTATTAATGGGATTTAATAAATAAAAAATAAAAATATACATAAAAAAATAAAAATAAAAAAACTGACTAAAAAGAAAGTAAAATAAAAATATGACCTACTTTTTTTTTTTTTTGAGGTAATAAAATGTCACATTTTAAATTATTGATAGGAATGTATGAAATTAAAACTAGAAAAAAGTAGTGGAACTTATGGTGGAATTAAAAAATACTTAAATAAAATTGAAATTTTCGATAATCATAACTAAACAAAGATTTAGGGTCCGTTCTGTTTGACTGAACTAAGCTAAACTGAACTGAATATTTTATAAGAGAAGGAAATTAAGAACTGAAAATAATCTGAAGAGAACAGACCCTTAAAGCAAAGATGATTCCTTACCCAATCGGACTACATAAAACCCAATACAATAATGTACTCTATCCCAAAGTTTTTTTTTTTTTTTTTTTTTTTGTGGTTAATTACGGATATTGAATACTATAGTAATGATCTAAGCTTTCATAATTTATCTGTAGTTAAGGAATAGTATATGTGTGGGTAGTGTAAATGAAAGTGGAGTTGAATGATGATGACTTGTTGAGATAACTGAATCTAGTCTCTTTTTTTTTTTTTTTTTTTGAAGTTGAAATTATAATTAGTTCGTTTTAGATAAGATTAATTTGATTGGGGAGTAGTTAGTAGATGAGTAGTTGGGTGTTTTATGTATATTCCTTATTATTATTATTATTATTATTATTATTATTATTATTATTTTATTTCTTTTTTATTTTATTTTTTTTGAATTTGAATTAAAGGAAAAGAAGGGAGTAATTTTTTAGGTGAGAGTGAATGAGGAGGCTTGGTTGGGGTTTTGGAGGCTCCTCATTCACTTAGGGTCTGTTCTCATACGTTTATTTTCAGTTCTAATCAGTTCAGTTCAGCTTAGCTCAGTTCAGCTCAGCTCAGCTCAGTTTAGTTCAGTTCAACTCAACTCCTAATTTCCTTCTCTTATAAAATATTCATTTCAATTCAGTTCAGTTCAGCTCAGTTCAGTTCATCTGATTTCAGTCTATTAGAACAGGCCCCTACTCTACAATTATATATTAGATGTGTTATTTAGGGGTTTCCTTTAAAGTAAATGATTTTTCATGTGTTTTAGTATTGTAGTGGATGTACTTTTATTTTATTTTTTTTAATGGCAAGGAGGATCCTAGCTAGACTTGGCTAGAAATTTAGCATTAGATATATGGTAAGGAATCCATAGCGGCTACCCCCACATACCCTCACTTAGTAGAATTCGAATCCCAAACCTCTAAGATTTGAGGTAAAAACTTTACTAATAAGGGCCTGTTCGCTTCATTTTAATTTTAGTTTAGCTCAGTCCAATTCCAATTAGTTCAGTTCATTTCATTCCAGTTCCCAATTTTCTTCTCTCATAAAATATTCATTTCAGTTTATTTCTGTTCAATTCAGTTCACTTAAGCTCAGTTTAGTAAATGTGAACATGCCCTAAGTGAGTCAATTTTTTGTTAGTTGTAGTGGATATAAAATGGTTAAACCTTTTTTTTCCTATTAATTATATAGTTCGACATTGTTGGTGAATATAGTTAACTTATTTTGTTTAATTTATGCTTTGAAGTTAGGGTTTTTGAATTTAGTAAATGGTTATTTTGGTTAGTGTTTTTCAATTCTAAATTATTCATAATTGTTTACTTCAACAAGTATGTTAGGATTAGTGATGATACATTTATACAGGCCTTGTTTGGCAAATGGCTGTTGGCGGGTTCACTTGATTTGTTTGGCTGTTTATAATGGCTTTTGAAATTGGATGTTTAAGCTGACTGTTTATAAAAGTGTTTGGTAAATTAATTGTTGGTTGTTGGCTGTTTATTAGATAATTTGTGGTTCAACAAGCCAAAAGCCAACAAAAAAGCTACTCAAAGCATCTTTTTCATTTTGGCTTAAAAGCCACCTTTTTCGTTGACTAAAAAGCCAATTACCAAACACATTTTTTGGCTGTTTGACCACCTAAAAAAGCCAAAAGCTAACCAAAAATCCAATTATCAAACATGGCCACAATGTTTGTTGTTAGCTATGAGAGGTTGTGGTTTTGTTGATGTGGAATTGGGCTAAGCAATTGGCCAAAACTGCCAGAACAAAAGCCTACAGTACTAGCTCTTCATTAAAAAAAAATGCCAACAACACTAGCAAAACTTGGAAAAGCATTCAATTATGCACAAACGACTTGCAAATTTGGTGGTTGAACGTTGGAATTCATATATCTTTGGCTCAGTTTTCATCCCTTCACTATTTTAGGGTGACCAAATTAAAACTTTGACATAAAGACGTAACGTCAGTCAACTCCTCACCAATACCTTGGTTATTAACCTTTCACCCAAGCTAAGGTTTATTTCTAGGTTGATTGATATGTATCAATAGTTTAATATTTGACACATTACTATACCCAACACAAGTTATTTACGGAGTACATAAGGAGCGGTACTCGGTTTTTCATATTGAGAAACATAAGATGTTTATCACGAGTTAAATATGTAACTATAGCTTTGCAACAAAAAAAAATGTAACTACAGCTGGAACTGAAGGTTACATATGAAATTTGTGGGATGCTTGAGTTAACTATGTTCAACTCTAGTCACATGACGTTAACTCAACAACTAAACAGAAGTTGCTTCATGTCTTCCTCCTTCCTCCAACCCACCTTCATCCTCTTTCTCCAATGGTAAAGGCTACACATAAACTGAGTATATGTGAGTCATATTTAGGCCATGTTTGGTAATTGGCTTTTTAATGACTTTTTTGTTAGCTTTTGATTTTTGGCTTTTTTAGGTGGTCAAACAACCAAAAAATGTGTTTGGTAATTAGCTTTTTAGTCAGCGAAAAAGCTGGCTTTTAAGCCAAAATGAAAAAGCTGCTTTGAGTAGCTTTTTTGTTGGCTTTTGGCTTGTTGGCCCACAAATTATCTAATAAACAGCCAACAACCAACAATTAATTTACCAAACACTTTTATAAACATCCAGCTTAAACAACCAATTTCAAAAGCCATTATAAACAGCCAAACATTCCAGCTAGTCAAACAAGCCAAGTAAACCAGCCAACAACCAACCGCCGACAGTCATTTGCCAAACAAGGCCATAAACTGATGATGTGGCAAATTTTGATTGGTAAAAGGTTTGGGCTCCTAAAATAATCTATTTTAATATTTCATTCAAATTTCAAACCAAAAAATTCAAATTATTTCAAATTAGATTGTGTTTTTCAATGCAAATTGAATGACCCCCACTTTCCCAACCACCCATTTCTCTCTCCTCTCATTTTTTTTGGCTGATTGTTTTTTTGTTTTGTTTTTCTCTCTTC